CTGGCAAAATTTTGGCATCGCATAAGCTAACACGCTTGAACTCCCATGATGTGGCTATAACGCCGGATCGACAGCGCATACTAGCTGTTGGGACACTGACTGAATCGCCAGATGGCCTCCAGCCTCACAAGGCCCGAAGGGAGAAACGGATAATAGGTACATATGGGCCAATGTCACGCTAAACTGGAACTCACAAGTATCTTAGTATACAATATGACTGAAAAGCAGGTCGAAAGGTCCTTCGACAGATAATCCCACCTGATTTGCTCGACTAATGCAATGCTTATTATAGTCAAGTCCCACTAATGCATGACGTTCGTGACATAACCATCGCAAGCAACGGTCAGTTGGCTTTGGTCAGCTATGAGGACAAGGTAAGATGGCACTGGCAGTACTACGACATATGCACTTAACAAGACGCTTGGATAGGCACCACCTCAACTTTGGCGTCTTGACAAGGTGGGTGACGAAGTGCGGCTGCATTTGCTGCACACATATATGCCTAGTGCGGACGTGGAGTTTGCGGGCACGAGTTACTTTGGTGGGAAAGATGATCAACTTATTCTCTGTGCGGGAAAGAGTGAGTGCCCACTCTCTGACGCTCCGCTGCGTGTTCATTGTGCATATCTGAAGATGGCCACATACACATATGGGATCGAGAGTCTGCGACGCTCCTCCATGATATACGAGTGCCTGATGGAGACCTGACTGGGATTGCGTGGAACGCAAGCTCTGATGTGCCCATGTTCGCCACTGGATCTCATGATGGGCGGGTGAAGATATGGACATCACCAATACCACAACCACCATCGATCAACCATTCTCGTTCTCAATCTAGAACGCCGTCCAACATACCTTCTCGGTCAAGTAGTTGTTCACCTGACTTCATAGAAAGCCCTGGACCTATGCAACCAGACTTCGAACCTTTTTCGCAACATGACTTGTCGCGAAATTCCAGTCGGAGGGAAAGGAGAGCTGAGGGTCTATGAGCTGAGCCGGTATTGTAAACCTCCTGTGGATCTTACGAATGGGCACATATACAATTTTTGATATGCATTAGGTGTGGAGGGGAAAGGATAATACAATAACAATACAAATACACCATAAAACGACCAATATAAGAACACAAAATAGTTCTATACTTCCTGAGAAGTACCCTCCTTCTTGCCCTTTGGAGTCTTTGTCGGTAGAAGCTAAAAGGGGGGTGAGTAACGGAACAGAAATGACAACTGCGGCTAACCTCAGCTTGAATGTGGGGGACAACACCACCCTGGGAGATGACAACGTGTCCAAGAAGTTTGTTCAATTCCTCATCATTTCGGATGGCGAGTTGCAAGTGACGTGGGACGATACGTTGTTTCTTGTTATCACGGGCCGCGTTACCGGCAAGCTCGAGGATCTCGGCAGCAAGGTACTCGAGGACAGCAGCGAGGTAAACTGAAGGTGAACACGTGAATAATACGAAGTTAATCACAGAAATGAAAGTCACCTACCAGGCGCACCCGCACCGACACGCTGGGCATAGTTGCCTTTCTTGAGCATACGATGGATACGGCCGACCGGGAATTGAAGACCAGCTCGAGCTGAACGAGACATGGATTTGCCATCACCACCTGAAGAGGCTTTTCCACCCTTAGCACCTGAAGCTTTTCCGCCTTTGCCAGACTAAAATTCAAGTCAGACTATATGCTTGAAAATGTAAGACATCAAGAAGAAAAAAATACCATTATTGTTTGTTTGTTTGTTTTGAAAAGTGCACTGGGCTTGTGTTGAGTGAGTCTTACGAGCAAGTGGTTACAGAGAGAGAAAGGCGGGCCACGAAAATTAAGTAATTGGCTTATGTATGATGCGCGGTGGTCCGTGCACAAGGAAATTGGAATAAAGTTCAAACCTCTAACGCGTTTGTCACGCGTCAAACAAACATCAGCAAACACAGACACTATAAGACATATCATGCCGTGTTGCTCTCCACCCTCTTCTTTATCGTCCACCACCACCAGCTAGTTACCGACTCCACTTAGATTCTTCTCAAATGGCACCCAAACCCGCTTCCACTGCCGGCAAAGCCCCAGCCTCTACAACTGCGACGAAGCAGCCTTCAGCCTCTAAAGCTCCTGCGGCCGCCAAAAAGACCTCTAAGAAAACTGCGCCTGCTGCTGATGGCGAGAAGAAGAAGCGCAAGAAGACTCGCAAGGAGACTTATTCGTCTTACATTTACAAGGGTGAGTTGTGCTGTGATACCCCCCTGACTTGTGACGCACCTGACGCGCAATGAAAGTCCTCAAGCAGGTCCACCCCGACACTGGTATCTCAAACAAGGCCATGGCCATCTTGAATTCTTTTGTCAATGACATCTTCGAGCGCATTGCCGGTGAAGCCTCCAGTACGTACTTAGTTTGGTACTTTTGCGACCTCCCCTAACCCCCACCCAGAGCTTGCATCATACTCTAAAAAGTCCACCATTTCTTCACGCGAAATCCAAACCAGTGTGCGCTTGATCCTCCCTGGTGAACTTTCCAAGCATGCCATCTCAGAGGGTACGAAGTCAGTAACTAAAGTAAGTTGCTTTCCTGTCTTTTATATTTTCCTGGCTAATTGCGCTCTTAGTTCTCGAGTTCGTCCAAGTAGACCTTTCTATTGTATCGACTGTATTGTATTATTGTAATCTTTTATCAATCTATTTGACTTGTAATTATGCCTGAAGTGTGATGTTGGAAGTTTAGTTGAAATGTCCCCGAGAGGGTATTGAGGTTGATTGACCTGTCCATGCAAAATTTCCCCAGTAAATTTATTCAGTCCACTCGTTGTGTCCATTTGCCTAGTTAATATTCTTGTTAGGAGTAGTGCGGATCTACAGTATCTTGTGGCTAACCCCCGAGCCTTTATAATATTATAATGGGGGGTAAGATATAATATGGAAAAAAAATTCTTGATTAACAGGTAGACTTTGGGTAGGCCTCGAATGTATACAGCGAGCGATGTGTCAAGACTTATATAGATCCGAGTCCACAGTCGAATTGATAATAAGTGCAGCAGAACTGCTTGACATTTGGTAGCGTCCCTGAAACACCATTCCTACGTCTTAAGAATTTCTCCAACCTCTGTTCATTTTTTTGAGAGAGATCTCGACAATAGCGAGATAGTGCTGACAGGATAACTCTTCAGGGGTTGGGCGCAAATTGTCAACCACCCTGCTGGTTCGTATCTGACAGACTCGAACAGGGCATACAAAGGCTACGAGAATAGCTGAATACTCATCCATATAAAATTACTTGCGTTTATCTCTCTCATGGACATTTTTAATATGCCTCCTCAAATGCCTACCACGCCTAAAGCACTTTCCACATTCCCGACACGAGAAACGCCGCAAATCTTTGGAGCTGGAGTTCCGCGAGTTTGGAAAAGAAGCCAGTCCACTATGGTAGGAAGATGCCTCCCGCGGATTTTCCCTTGAGGGACGTTATCGGGATTCATACATGCGGGTGAGCCTCTATGGTAGATACGGAAGTGCTTGGTAGACAACCCTGCAGAACTACTAGTACTCGTTGCCCCAGGGTAGTCCGAGTCCGAGTCACTTATTGTCCAAACTAACACCATCGTCCGGTAAGCCTTCGGTCGAATCAGTTGGGCTTCGCACAAGATTTTCACAGATAGAAGTAGTAGTGTAGACAAGTGTGGGGGGGGAGGCCAAACACTGGTAGGGTGTACCCCCATGAATCGATACTCGGGGAATTCCACGCTGAACGGAGAAATGCTTGGGCATATTCTCAAACCCACAGAAAGAGGCGTCCAGAGGGCTAAAAATGGCGCCAGCGAATATAGTTTCCTGAACCTGGTTGTTTCAGATGATCAATAGTCGAAAGACATGCTCCCGCTATATCATGAACGATGTACGGCAAGAAGAACATCTAAGAGTTCTGTGGCGTTTGCGAACTTTGCCCCGCTGAGAGCGTCACGCATATGCTCGATGGAATTTATGATGTGTAGTAAGGTGTTGACAGAAGCTAGTAGTAACCTGAATGAGGCAAAATGTAAACAAATGCCATCATTACTTCCTTACCAACGGCTTTGATATGGTTAACAGCATCAAATTCATACTTGCTATATCCCATAGAATTACCCCGATATTAGAGTTTAAAAAATCCATTATCGACTATGTCAAAATATCTTTATGCGTCCCGCTGAAGAAAACAGTATTCAAGAGAAGCGAATATGGATGAGCCTTTTTGACAAACAGTCGTCGGGTTACACACATGGACGAAATTTTAAGGGGCAGACGGAGCCAACAGCGAGAATATGACGGAGGGTTATCGAAAGCAAGCTCCCAGTTGTGAAATAGATAGGGAATCCGTTTATCCTGTCTCTGAATGAACCACATACTACTCATTTGTTCAAGGTAGCAGCGAATTCAAATAATGGGACGGTCTTGACAGAGGGGGGGTATCACAATATACACCTTTGGTCCAGTGGCTGGGCCGCCAATTATTGCTCGGATCTGGGGAGCTTGATCAAAGTGGTCTGGACAGGACAACGCGGTATGACACTCGATGTCACGAAGTCTCATTACTCGCACTATTAATTTAGGTACCCAATTCTAGAGTGACCCTATTGCTACCCAGATTGAACTGAAATAGAGTGCACAGCTTGTCCGCGCTCGTAGGCAACGAAGAACTTGCAATATTGAACCATTCAAAATAGTTCATCATACCAGAGGTTCATTAGAGTAATATCCCTTGATAGACGTTCACGGGCGATGTAGGGCGAATAGCGGTTACGTATCAAATCAACGGTGGGCGACAGATCTGTGTATTGCTAATGCTCAAGATCACCACTAGAAGCATTTAAGTAACTACTTGAGTACCTTGATGGATGTCATCAAATTATAGGATTATTTGTTCTATCTAATGATGCGTATACAATGAGCGAGTGTACCAGCTTCAGAAATATACTGTCTCACTGTGTTATCACTCAAGTAGCGCTCGAGTGAGTCAGTTCATAACGGTCGGGTGGAGCAATGGTGGCTCGTCACTTTCCGGTACTTTAATATCAGGTGAAGGTTGCGGGTTCGAGTCCCGTCCTGATCGTTCTTTTTTACATTTAATTTTTTGCGCCGACTTTTTGGACCTCGTCAGATTTCGTTACATAGTCACTCGTCACACAGGTATTGCAGTTCTCAGAAATTCGATGGATGGACGTATCTCTGAGGATAGCGGCCCTAGCTCCAACACCCAATTTGGAACTTCTCCTGCACCAGCCTTGGCTGCAGCTAATGAAGCCCTCGCCCAAATGAGGTTGTCTTTTGACAGCTCGCCGGGAGGCGGCAGCCCTGGTCCTTCCACTGTCAATGGGTTCTCATTTACCACTGGTGAGAAAAGTATAAATGGAGAAGGAGATTTGGCACAATCAATGCAAGAGGATCTCCAAAGAACTAAGCAGGAGAATGAAACATTAACAACGAAGTACAATACGCTCGTGGCAAAGCTTACTGCTATGCGAACTTCCGTAGAGAGCAAACTCAAGCGAGACGCAGTGAGTGCAGGCCATTATGAATGCCTTGTCTATTGTCTTCCTTACGACTCTTACTTTAGGAAGAACTGGATCAGAGAGAGCAGCTTGTTCAACAATTAACCGTCCGGAACGACGACTTAGCGTCAACCATTGAGAGATTAACAGATGAAGTAATACAGTCTAACCAAGAAGCCGAACGATCCTCTCGCGAACTTGAAACTCTACGGGCAAGAATCTTTCAGGATAGCGCGCAAGAGGTTGCTGCGCGCGAACACGAGCTTATGGAACTGCAAAGTGAGCTGGAGAGATGCCGCATAGAGCGGGACGAATGGGAACAGGCTCTGCAATCGGAGAGAGTCGTCTCGGATGGCATGAGAGCGGATCTCGTGGGTGTCAGGCGAGAACTCGATCTAGAGCAGGCTGCGAGGGCGAAAGACGCCAGTGAGTTGGCGAAGGAGCGCGAGAGAAGTGCAAATCTCCAGTCTGTTCTGGAAGACTTCCAATCCGGTTTGTGTGTTGTTGCGTGGTTGATAGTTTTAAACTGACACACGCCCAGCCAGAGAACACGAGACCCGGCAGGCTGTTCATGAATACAAGGAGCAACTACGACAAGCGACCCAATCTCTCGCAGAGTATAAATCTCGTGCCTTGCGAGCAGAAGTACGTGACAATGCATCTGTACTGTTCCTCTTCCTGAAATTTCTCCAAGGTCGAATTAGAGGAATCGTCAACAAATACGCATCGTAGTGCAGCCTTAGAGAAGGAGGTCAAAGAAAAGCAGCTTCTGATAGGAAAGCTACGGCATGAAGGTGATTAGCCTCTCGTTCTATTCAAGAATTGGTGGTTTCAATTCTTATGCAGCTGTCATCCTCAATGAACACCTCACCGAAGCCATCCGTCGATTACGAAGAGATGCTTCAGATAACAATGTGGACCGGTTCGTCGGAGCCCTCTTGCCGTTTTATCATACTTATAGTCGTTATTTAGACGACTAGTCACAAATGTCATCCTCTCGTTCCTTACGACACTACGCACCGATAGCAAGCGATTTGAAATACTAGCACTCCTCGCATCCATCCTATCATGGTCAGATGAAGAACGCGAAAAGGCGGGTCTACAACGTTCAGGCTCGGGGTCTGGACTGCTCTGGGGTTCAGGCAAGGGCAAGGCGCCCGAATTAGAGAAAACCGATGAAACTGAGGTGAGTCTGCCTTTTTTTCTCTCCGCCGGGCACAGCGCCTGACATGCCCCCCGCTCCGTAGTCCTTTTCAAAAATGTGGGTCGAATTCCTTCTCAAGGAAGCCGCACAGGGCGCGTCGAGTTCTGGCGGGGTAGCAACACCAACGAGCACACGCAACGGCTCTCTGCCCGCCTCGCCCGTTCTATCGCCCCAAAGCGTAAAAATGGGACGCATCTCCTCGTTTAATGGGACCAATACCCCTGGGATGGAATACTCCGAGAGATCCCCCCCTCCTCGTCGAGGTAGTTTACAGCATCAATGATACCAGTACCCGTTTAAATGCATCTTATCTAAATTCGCATTTCCATACGCATGGCTTGTTGGACTTTTTGTATATACACTTCGTGTACCATGTATTCGTATTATCGGGGATGCTGATGATTATATATTATTATAGTCGTACACATCAATATTAATGGAAAAAAAAAGTGCAACATCCACATCGTATTTCTGCATACGTGTCACGAATAAACTGGAACAATTAAAAATATCATTATGAGTGTGTAGTTATAGGACATAAGAAGAGTTTTGATTTTTTAGCTCTTGGAAGATGACAGATGGAGGCAAAAATGGCCCAGTTTTACAGCGCCTTGCTAGCTCAATCGGTAGAGCGTAAGACTCTTACAGCCCTTCTGGCCGGGTAAGATATCTTAAGGTTGCGGGTTCGACCCCCGCGTGGGGCTAGACTTTACCTTCTTTTTTTTTGCTTCCGAACGTACACACGACCCCCGTCGCGTGAGGCTAGAATTTATCTTTTATTTTTATTCCTTCCGAACGCAAACACGATCATCATGGCATGATATTTTGTGAGAAACAAATACATGATTCGTACGGCAGATATATCACCTGGTGGCCTGAGGGAGTCAATATCTCCACGTGCATGAACAAGTTATACTAGATATGGCATACTGATTAGGACGGTGTGGTCAGGCGATCACTCATTAACAGGTATAATATCAAGTCCCTCATATAGTAGTCCTTATTGGTCGCACAACCAGTGTAAAAAAAAATGCATCTGTATTGTTCAACTTGCGTCTACTGGCTTGGTTTCAAAAATTTCCTTCGAGTTCTAATGATATCTCTCTCATCCTCGCTCTACTTTTGACGTTTGTATATTTTCCCGATGAAGCTGCGGAAAATTTCACGTCTCAGCACGACCTGGGACACGGAGTTAGTACAAGTGCAGGGCCAAGAACTCCAAACAATGGCGTGCACACACCTCTCCCCAACGCTGCTCCTCAACAACATTAATCATCTCGCCGATGCGCTTGTATGCGTTCTCCTCGTACTCTGTGTACCGTTCACGGATGTTTAATTCCTCAAAGATAGCTTTACATTTTGCTTCTGCCGACGCAGATTTACGACCATAGTTGGCCGAAAGCACGGAAAGCTGTTCAGGCGTGGCAAACTGCATGAGGATAACAAGGTAAACGACGCTTGACACTGCGGGAAAAAAAAAAATCAGGTACCTTGAGCGCGGTACAGACAACCCAGCTGCATTTATTATCCAGGATATCGGTCCCAATCTTTCCAATGTCGACGCCGAAACAGTCCAAATAATCGTCCTGGACCTGGAAATACTCTCCAAGCGGCAACAGTATGTCGAGCGCAACATGATATGGCGAAACGGCAGGCAAACCACTTGTCGTGGTTGGTGTCGGTGTGCCGTCGAAGCTTAACGTTCGCGCAAGGGTGGGCATCTCGTCTGGGACGGGGACACCGACATAAATCATCGCGAGTGCGACGGGAAGGTAGAAGGAGTAGTATGCAGTCTTGTAAATGACGATGAGGCGGTGCTTTATCAGCGAGAACTTGGAGAGGTCAATCTTGTCTTCTGGGGCGGTGATGAGGTCGATCAGTTGACCCAGCTCCGTGTAATATGTCATCTGGGGGCAGAAAGTCAGCGATAGTGCTGCCATGCAATGCAGCCGGAAGATGCACATCGTGGTACAGATCGAGGAGATCGGCATAGAAGGAGCGTTTCCTACCGTGGCGCATTTAGTCACTCATATCGATACAAAGTGCATAAAGCGAATCACACCTGAAATAGCGCTTTAGAAGGTGGTAGATGGCACCCTCGAGCATGAACGCGTCGTTCACGGCGATCGTTCCGACCTTGTCAGGCTGCTCAACGCGGTACCAGCATGCCTGATCGCGCCGGGTGACCGACGAGTCCATAAGGTCGTCCGAGACCAGGAAAAACGCTTGCAACTGGCCCGCAGCGCATCAGTTCCCCGCTCGCTCTCTGCCACGAAAGGGAGCCAGAATACAAATACATACAAGCTCGACGCCCCAGCCCAGCAGCGCCACCTCAAAGTACTCGTCATCCCCAAGTCGGGCTCCACGCATAATCTCGACGGTGTCCACGACGGATATGCCGCGATTCAGCTTCCCCCCCGGGACATTGTATTGGAGACTCTGTGACGGCCCGTGTCAGCGCGAATGAGGCCCTATACAACACGAAAAAAACGATGGGCGGGGCGCGCACCCGTTCAAACCAGGATGTCGCATCCGGCGGCATATGGTTGTCCTTGAGAAACTGGACGAGTTCCGCCCGAATACGGGGCCAAACAGAGAGAAAGCGGTCCTTTTTGGCAGACATTGTGATGAAAGGGTTAAGATGGAGGAGGGGAGACAAAGTCGGGGTGGGTGGGAGGCTTAAATTGCGTCGTTACAATAGTTGTAAATCCGGCGTTCTCCGCCACACAACGTCGTCCCACCCCCACGTCCCTACGCTATAGCTCATTGGTGCCTGCCAGAATCCACTTAATTCACTTCTGATAATGCTGCATCACCGGTTGGCGACGGGTAATCAGACCCCGAATCGACAAAGTGCCAAACCAGACACTGAACATATGCTCATTGTGCCACACTCATATATACACATACCCACACACACACATATATAACTTTGTGGAAATAACGAGATCATGGGTGATTTCCAGTACTGATATCCTCTGCTAAAGTTCCTGAGGTCATCGATAATTTCGAATCATTCTACCGGCCAAGTTCCTCGTCACAGCTGGAGGTGGCAAGAAACGGGGTGCATCGTTTCGTCCGGCTGTCCGCTGTACTGTAGTGACGAATTCGATTCGGAAAAAAATCTCTTAGGGCTGATCATACACATGTCCCATATACTGGTGCAACCCGGAAGATACATTTATGGTGCCGATCGATATCATATAGTGCCCATTAACTATGTGCAGGGCCAAGACCTATGATTACGTAGGGGCACAAGAGCCCTTGATTTAGCGCGCACCTTACATATTGCAAGATTTACTCGGATACAATGACATGAAAATTTTATTCATCCACACATCCAAGCTTTTCAAAAAA